TCTGAGGTCAAACATGTTGAAAATAAATTATGGAAATATGTATAGATGAATTTAAGTTGGTTGACAACTCTGCTTGTTCAAATAGGTATAAAATGATCTTCATCAAATGGATATATCATTTCTTGTATCCAAATCCTACTCAAGCCATTGCCTATGAAGAAGAGTTGGCAACCAACTTAAAATCTCTCTCCCAATTGTATCAAGATACATATGGAACCAATGATGAGAATGCCCCTATATCTGAAACTCCAGAAGTAGGATCTAGTTCTGGGTTGTGAAGGAGGAGTTTTGAGATGTTTTTAGAAACTGTTGTTGGTAATACTAATTCAAAATCTGATCTTGAATTATATCTTGAGGAGCCTCTCTTGAAAGTTCCCCCTAAAGGTAAGTTTGATGTTTTAACATGGTGGATGAGGAATGAAGCCAAGTATCATGTTCTTAGTAAACAGGTAAAGGATATCCTAACTGTTCCAATTACAACAGTTGCTTCAAAAGCAACTTTTAGTGCTGGTAAAAAGGTTATTGATCTGAAACGATCTTCTACGAAAACTAAGACAGTTGAAATGGTACTTTGTGGCGGTGATTGGGTGAAGGAGAAGTATGGAATTAAAAAAGGTTGCACTGCTGGTATTGTAAACAACTTTTGCTTCTAATATATTTTAATTGAATATTTATATGGCTTTTGTTTTTACATTTGTGGTGCTTATGAAGTTATCCTTTTACTTTTGTAGCTTGAAGAACCATGAGATGAACCTTTAACATATCATTTTGGTGAGGATCCGGTTGTCGCTTCTTCGACAACAATAACTTGAACATATATAATTTCAATGCCAATGATGAGATTGTTCTGAGACATCATTAACAAATGTAATGATATTTTGTGTTTTTTTGAAAACATAAGTTTTATAACTTATGTTTGAACAAAGTTTAATTTTTTACATTAACTTCTCTTTGAACATGTGATGTGATTATGTGAATGATATTTAAAATGTAATCTCAAATGCTAATGAGAATCTGAAAAATCAATATAATGAAAATTTATTGTGAATTTTGAAATAAAAAAAAATTATTTTATTTTTTCTCTCTAATTTGGGTGGTCTGGATATCCGGACCGAAAATTATCGATCTGGTCTCGATTTTTCATTAACAAATTATCTATTATCCGGCCCGATCTCGGTTCTCCGTTAACAAATCATTCAAGAGATATTATATTTTAATTGATTCATGTTATAAATAAGACAGAGTTAAAAATATAAAAAAAAACCTAATAATAAAGGTGTTGAATCCTTTCCCTTCAAAATTTCTTGACAAAAAATAGGTTTATTCAGAGAATGGAGAATAGATCACATGCTATATCATATGAATTAATTTTCTATTATGTATTTCATTTAGGATCATTTAATATCATGTATTATGTATAGTAAATTATTTATTATGGATATATTATGTAACTTTTTAAAGCATTTTTGGTTCTAATATATTTTTATTATCATGTTTTGGTATACATTGACGTGTGTAAAATAAAAGATCTAATATAAGCAAGATTTATATATTTAAAAAAAAAACACATGTTCATATTCTTTAATAAGATTAAAAATGAGAAGTGGGGATGTTTTGCACATTTGGAATATGTAATAGAACTTGTGTAAACTACTTTAATTTTAAGTATGGATCATAGAATCTGAACCTTATCAACACATAATTATTGTCTAAAATGCACGAAAATTAAGTGGTAGAATAAGCAAGAGTTACAATCCAAAATTAAAGTGGTATAATCCATAATTAAAGACATTTATTCAAATCTTTTTTAAATCAGCAAAACGCAAAAATTTATTATAATGATAGAATCATAATCTCAACTTCCATAAATAAGATTTGTCATTAAAAACACCTTTCACAAATTACTTGTATGAATTCATTCTGAATGATTTCTTCCCAAATTAAGAAATCTATCTTTTACAAAATAGTACACTACAATATTTATCATAAAATATTACTGGTATAAAATATAGACCAACATGCAGCAGAAAATTCATTAAACCAATAGAAAGCAATTCTTCATTTCTCTATGAATTGTTCAATGTCGTAACATCTCGATGAAGATTTTTCTATAATTAAAATGACATAAGTTAATAATTTAAATATAGATATGAAAATAATCACCTTGATAGAAATTAAAATTTATATAATTGTTAAATTTTATCATCAATAATCTAGTAAAACTAATGATACCGAATTGACTTGTGTTATTATTTTCCAGCACAAATCATAAAATCATTCCATTAATAAATATTTTTTTGATAAGTTCATATACTCAAATTGAGATTTAATTACTATAAAAGATGTATTGTAAGAATTATTGAGGCAAATAGACGCACTTGTATTGAACACTCTATATTAAACTTGTATTTGTGAATTACCTGTATCATCGTCTTTTTCTTTTCTATCAAATTGTGAATCACGCCTCTTGTCAAACTACATGATATTAAAGAATACAAATTACAATTTTATTTAATTGACAAAAGACAACAATTGAATTAAATAATTAAATAATACCTTAATTTTTGAAACTTTAGAGCCAATATCTTTCTTTCTTTTAGGAGGTTGGCACTCTACCCATCTTTTGGACGTTTTGAACTCTTTTTGCCTTTTCTTTTCTTAAATCCTTTTGTTTGTGTCAAATCATTATGATTGCTAGTAGACTCTTTAACTCCACCAATAAACTCATTCAATTTAGAACTATTTATTGGATTGTTTTGAAATTTAAGTATTGTCTCTTTGCAATTTATTAGTGATTTTGCGAAGAACACTTAATGCTTCTGGACTTCTACATGCTTCAGTGGCTATCCTAATAAGGCGGGGACAAATCTCTTTGTAGCATTTTGTAGCATTGAGTCGAGGATAAATCAACATCTTCCACCACATAACTAACATCAACATTACGTGAAACTTCACGTCTAGTTAACTTTGTCCATCTTTTTAAGATATAATGTCTAGGAACTAATTTGACATCCATATGAATAAACAATTAAATAGTGACAACAAAGTATGATGAAACTCTCAAACTTACGACAAGAACAACAAATTGAATTCTTATTCAAATCAAATGACACTTGTCACTCGCCCAAATTGTTCTCCATGGTAATTATACAATCGATTAATGGTGGTTGAATATCAATATTTTTCATAAACCATGTTTCAAACAACTCATACTCGTGTTGGAATTGATCAAAAATTCTAGGAGTATAAATTTCAGACACTTGTTGCAAGATTTTTGAATGAGTTCGTTAGTCTTGAAATCTTTTGTCGCACTTCATATTCACACTTTAATTCATTGTATCGCTTTTCTTCGACAACATCCTCAAAGCGCTTAAAATTTTTGATTATATCCAAGTTGACATTCATAAAGCCTTTAATATCTGCATTCACACTTTTACTAAGTTGAGTGCTTCTCATCCCTAATGTAAAAACTTTCTTCGTGTAACATGATGTCCACTTCTCCTTTATAGTGTACACTCTTTGTAACCAAGTATTTTCTTTGACATCGTAGTTTACAAGGAGATTTCTCCAACCTTCTTCAAATTGATCTTCATTTTCATATTCATACATGCATTTCTTAAAGTCACTAAGAAAATGAGATCCATCTTTTATCAAATTTCCTAAGTGCTTGATGCAGATTTGCATCAAGTGCCAAGTACATAAGCCGTGATAAGCTCCAGGTATAACCTCCATTAGCGCTCTTGCCATTGCATGATCTTGATCAGTAAAAACTATTGGTGACATTTCTTACTTATGGGCGTCTAAAAAGGTGTCAAAGAGCCACCTGTATGACTCAATTGTTTCGTTATATAATAACGCAGCTCCAAAAATCATTGCTTTTCGATGGTGGTTAAACTCCGATAAAATTGCAAGTGGTCTATGTGAACTATTTGTGCCATAATTAACCCAAAACTTCCAAACATCTTCAATGCTATCAAAAATCATTATTAATCTTGGTTTCCAATTTTCTTCCATTTTCTACATTAAAAAAATTATGCAATTTATTTACGGTCTCTAATAATAAAAATAACATATATAACTCGAATGACTAACTAAATTATTAGTCTATAAACATATAATTTTAGTGTAGAAAAATATTTATAAATATACTGTAATATTTGTAATTTGTTCATGACATTGTCAGTTTTAAGTTAGAATATTATATTCATAATGATTAACTCACAAAATATTTGATCCAATTAACTGGACTAATCCCTCGATACGAAACTCATCAAATACCCACTTCTTGTATCTGATAGTTGAAAGAAGGAATTGGATCACCTCCTACCATAATTCTAACTCTAACGATACATTTTGTAGGCTGTAGCTTTCTAATTTCCTTTTCATTTATAGTTTTTCAACCACACAATATTCATTATACTAAAAAAAAGAGCTTCACAGAAAATTTCAGAAACTAAGTGCCTTGACCAAATATTTTCAAACTTGATTCATGCCGGGGATATTTGATAAAATTTTGGTGTGGGTGATTGAATTTGATGAAGAAGTAACTAGTTTTGACTCTTCCATGGCATTTAATTGATATTTTTAGTTTACATTGATGTTGTTGATGTGATATGTTATTGAATTTGATTTAATTTGACTCTTCCCTTTTTTTTTCTCATTTCCCAAAAATGAAATTGGTTGCTATCCTACGGGCAAGATGTTTAAAAAATGGTTGGCCATTTTTTCAATTATTATTTTTCACAAATAGTTTGTTAAAAATTTCAGCTATCCACGTCAAAACTATAAAAATACAACACTAAATTGGTTCCACATTCAAATACTATTAACAAAGTCTTATTAACCATCAGCAACTCAGCATGTGGGAAATACATTGTTTGTGCTTATATGTTGCAGACATCTAAAGTTTCTAGCAGCAAAAGTGAAAAATATACACAAAACAAACTTCATAGTAATCAATTCACTAAGAAGAGAATGGTAAGAGGACCAGATTGCGAATGCTATTCATTCGTTCTAACAGACGATAGGTCAGTCATCCCACCGGCCATTCTCTCAGCCTTTTCCGCACGCTCACCTGAAAATTGGTAAGTAAAACTTGAGCATATAAACTTTGTTTTCATTTTTAGACAACTTTGGGAGGCAAACAGTTACCTGTGCGAACTCTTATTACATCAGATACAGGCATCACTGCACAATTAAAGTTCCATTAGAAATACAGGTATCAGCTCAAAACAGATCACAATGTATAATTCACTTGTATAACAGCTTAAAACAGATCACAATGTATAATTCACTTGTATAACAGATCAAAACATCTCAAAAAAAGTAAGTTTCGGCCTTACAGAAAATTTTGCCATCTCCAATCTCCCCAGTCCTTGCTGACTCCAAAATTTGGTCGAGTACTGCCTCAACCTGAAGAAATACACGATACATATCAGAGATGCTGCAGAAAGTAACATTTTCTTTGTAATTTAACTAGTTTGAAGTTTTATTCTGAGTTGTAACTACTAACTACTAAATAAATCAAACACCACTGAAATGAAGATGTGTATTCTAACTACTCAGGCCATGTCATTTGTCGTCAAACAAAAAAAAACTGTTTTCTTTAGTCTTGAAATTCAAACACTTTGAAACAGTGACTAATCATGTATGTGTTCAGAAGAGACTGAAAAGGCATGAACCAATGGTGACGGGATTATCAAATATCCAAGAACCAATTGGTCTAGCCACAAAACCTGAGAAGACCCAAATCTGTAGACTTCTGACATTGTCATGTTCATTATTTATAATATTATGCATTTAAAAGCAATGTTTTATTAGGTATAAGAATCTAACAAAAATAATAAGTTTTGTTAATTTTTGCAAAGAAAAAGGTAACTTATATATTAAGGGCGTACTAACAAATTTTGATCATTCTTGTGTTATGGTGAACCAGGTTTTTTATTTTTTAATATGGCCACATATGACATGAAATACTTTCAACATATTACATGAAAAGAAAAGTTTAAGGACACAACCAATTGTAGCTCATGATGCTAGTGAAATTACAAACAAATGTAAACACACCTGGTCTTTCCTCACTACTATTTCCATTTTAACTTTGACAATAAAACTGTCTTCAGAAAATTCTGAGCCTGTGAAGAATACACCATTAATAAAAGACTGATGTAAATGTGCATGTGACCATACAAGTAATATGCATAATAAAGCAAAGTGTACAAATCAACTACGAAGGATGGTAAATATGCATGTCTTGACTCTTAAAACACAGCTAAAGTTGGCTGGACGCAGGCCTAAACTTGTGTGTTCACATTTTAGTAAATCAAGAAAATATTTTCACTTCAAAGACAAATTTGCTTTACAGAAGCCTTATACATAGAATATATTTTCAGTATTTTATTCAGTGATCTACTTACCTCCATGCCTCTCTATCGAACCACCCTGAGCACCAAACCCCTTGACATCAGATACAGTGACACCGCGGATACCCATTTTCAACAAAGCCTTCAAATAAAATAAAAATAAACTCAGTATCAGCACATCTCAGCAAACTAGTAAGTATAATAGAAGTATTGGCTAAATCAGTTATTCGAGAGAGGTACAAAACCAACAAATGTAAAGCCATGAATCTCATCCCAAGAGAATGACAAGCTCGTTCTATAATGAAAAACTAATGCAGTACTTTCGCTTATTGCATTTGTAGCAACAAGTTTATGTGCCAACCTGCTGGAAATCTACTGAGTAGAACCTTTTGGAAATAGAAAAAAATGAGATACTGAATGAAATCGGTTGAATGAATATTACATCGAGATACATAATTTATATACACAACACATGTGCTGCTAACCAAATGCCAACTAATTAACCGAATTATCAACTCACTTTACAACTAATTAACCAACACTTATGTGCATTAGCTTGAGATGCATAACCAATCAACTCATAGAATAGTTTATGGACTCACAAAATGTGTGTTAACAGAATTAACCAAATGACAGAATAGTTGATCGACGTTGAAACTAATTTACTTAAACTATGCTAACAGAACTAACTAACTAACTAATTTTTTTGGAAAACTGAATTAACTAACTAACTAACTTTTTTGGAAAAACTGACTTAACTTTTTTGGAAATACTAACTGACATAATAGCTAATCAAAATGCTAACTAACTAGTTAATAGGTTTCAATTGAAAAATAATAACAGATATCAATTAAAAAATAATAACAGAGATCAATCAAAAAATAATAACAGAATTCAATTAAAAATAATAATAACAGAATTCAATTAAAAAATAATAATAACATAATTCAGTATAAAAAACCAACAGAATAGTTAACTGAATTCTTAACAAATTAACAAACATTTTTATACTGTAAAAATCTACTACAATGCATAACTCAATTTCAAGAGCGTAGGTATCAAAGACGATACATCCAATTCAGTGAAAATAACAAGAATCGCATCCAATTCAGTGAAAATAACAAGAATCGCATTCAATTCAGTGAAAATAACAAGAATCGTATCCAATTTCACACATGCAAAAAAAAAAAATCAATGAAAAAGGAAAATGCGTTACCGAAGAAACATGAGAAATTCTCCATGGCCTGTTCATCGATCAAAAAAGAAATTAAAAGAAGCAAAAACATAAATAAGCATCAAGAAAAATCCGGATTCAACTGATTTCACAGTAAACATGAAAGAAAAGTGCTATAACCTGAGAATCGCTTCAATTTTGTAAAACTTGGAATCTGGAACATAGTCTGAGATCAAACAAAAAAGGTTTAGCAACGGTATTTCAAGAACGAATATCGATGAACATAGAAAACGCATTCGCACCGGGAAGATTCTGAGCTCGGACTTTGGGAAGAATCGGTGCGTTTCTTTTGGTTCTTAGAAGCACATTGCGGTTAGGACAATCTCCGAATCGCTTGCGAATGACGCTGAAAGTTGAAAAAGAAACTTCAGTTTGTTTGAGCTGAAAACTCGCGAAATTGAACACGTTCGTACTCGAGATCAAAGCCATTATTTCTCTCAGTCACTTGCTCACTAAACAGTCAACTTTAATGGAATTTCCTTTTCAAGATATGATATTATATAGTAACGTTTTGCACATGGTAATTGGTGAAATGGAAGCACAAGCCTTAGGCCCAAACTTTAGGCCCAACTCGAGTATCTCTTCTGAGATTTTTATATGCCACTCCAACATTTAAAATTGGCACCCCATTTTTTCATATTAATTAAAATGGCCTTCTCATTATTTATGTATCCAAAAATTATATTTGGTCAAAAAATTTTAAAAATCTAAAAATTGGATAGTTATAACAGAAAATATAGTACAAAAATATTTCGGAATTGGGTGAAAATTGTGCAATTTTACTGAATTTTAAAAAGTGATCTTCGTTTTTATTGGTTTTTTTTTTAAATATGGTATTTCTAGAAAACTGGTGCATTTTTATCGAACTCTTTTAAAAATCTGGTGCATTTATATTGCATAATCTCAAAAATACGGAATTTTTAGGGATATTTTTACCAAACTTTTTAAGAATCCGGCTCACTTATACTAGATTTTTCCAAAAATATTTGATATTTACGAGGAATCCTATATTGCCTATCAAATTTTTTGAAAAATTCGGGAAACATAAAAAGATTCTAGATTTTTTTTTTTAATTTCGATATACCGAATTTTTAGCCTAGTGTAAAAAAATCCAATAGTTCATAATGCTTTACTTGTGTGGTCCAAATCCTAATGGTTCCTCTGTATGTTTTACACAATTTTTCACCACTGATGTTGTTTGTTTTACTTGCATGTTTTGTTTTTAACTTGTTCAGAATTTAATAGGCTTTCAAGATCTCTTACATTGATAATTTATTATTTATATGTTGTAAATGATAGATGTTTCCCTTCCGAGCTGACGTGTTAGCACGAGCACAATTCATTGGTAAACAACATGGTATTTTTGTAGTTATTGTTCGTTTTGATACCCCAAATAGAATTAGAGTGAGGAAAGATAAATTGATTAGGGATTGTGAGAGGGAAAGAAACTACAAAAAGAAGAATTCATGTGAAGGAAATTATAATATGAAAGTTAAATATTCATTTATGCTGAGATATGTGTCAAGTGGTTGCGGTTGAAAGGTAATGGATAGATGTGAGTTTCACAATCATAAACTAGCTACGGATTTAGATGGTCATGACATATTAGGCAGTTTATAAGATGATGACAGATAGTTTGTGAATGACATAACAAAATACAATATGGCTCCCAAATACATAGTTGCTACTTTGAAAGATAGAGATTCGAAAAACCTCACAAGCGTTAATTAGGGGTACAAGACAAGATCTACATACAATACAGACAAGAGAGGTCCATTGACTGAAATGCAACATTTGTTGAGTCTTATTCATGAAGAGAAATACATGTACTGGACCAGAAACATGAATGATTCAAATGTTGTTGCTGATATCTTTTGGACAGATTCTGATTCAGTGAAGTCGATGAACATGTTTCATTTGGTACTGATTTTGTATTGTACATACAAAACAAACAGGTATTGGATTCTCCAAAAATGCAAATTTGGATTTATTAGATTATGGAAAGTTATTGATTATTGGCTATACATACAAAACAAACAGGTAACGTTTACCACTACTTGAGATTGTTGGTGTTACGTCAACAAATTTGATATTTTCAGTTAGATTTTTCTATTTGGAACATGAAAGGGAGAAAAACTTCACATGGGCACTAGAGAAGCTGAAAAAGTGTTTTGCTTCTAAGAAGTTGTTACCGAAGGTTTCAGTGACGAATTGGTAACTAGAATTAATGAATGTCATGGAAGTTGGATTCCCAAACTTAACTCATATATTGTGTCTCTTCCATAATTCTAAAATTGCTAATATGAAGTGTAAGAAGTATGTCGAATCTTACAGGCAAGAGTATGTTATGGATCTATGGAACAAACTCTTGTGTTTGAATAGGGAGTTTGAGTTTGTGGAATACTTGAAGCAATTTAAGGTAATATGCGTTGATATTCCTTTATTTGTTCAGCATGTGCACGAAACATGGTTGACACTCTATAAAGAAAGGTTTGTTGTTGCATGGACTAATAGAGTCACCCATTTAGAGAACATGTCAACGAAAAGGTACATCGATGTGACTTTGATTATATTACATTACTAATTATCAAATTATAACATTTTCTTTTATTTATGTTTTTTAGGGTTATGTCTGCTCATTGGAGATTAAAAGATATGTTGAATACTAGTTGGGAGATTTATGCAGAAGTTGGCATGTTGTGAACACCATGTTGAAGTTACAACTAGGTTTAATAAGAGTATCATTTCAAAATTTTATAGCCAACATTGAGCATCAGTATAACACTCTATTTTACTATAGATTGCACATATTTGTTTCATGACAATGCATACACAACGTTGAAAAAGAGTTGTGGTTACTACATTCTAAGAATACTCAGTTTCAAACCCTTGAAACTATAAATGCATCAATATCGTTATAATTAAGGAAAATCTAACTACAATACAAAAATACACAGATACAATAACTTCTCACCTTAGGGAAGCAAACTCATTATACGATAACCACCATAAAGCCTTAGACAACCCTTATCCTATAGGGGTTGTTACACATTCAAACTTTTAGCAAGTGCAAAACCCAATTTTTAAATAACATAATTCACTCCCTTTTTGTATTTTTATGTTTGAAGGCATTTGTTCAACAATAAATACAATTATATATATATATATATATATATATATATATATATATATATATATATATATATATATATATATATATATATATATATATATATATATATATATATATATATATATATATATATACACACACACACACACACACACACACATACAGACACATATGCTTTCTCAAACAGATTAAACCCAATCTATTGAAAATAATTAACAAACATGTTGCAATTAGGCATGGCAAAAAAAACCCGACCCATCGGGGCCCGCGCCGGACCCGCCCTGAAATTAGCGGGGAAAACCTGGTTTGAGTGGGTGCGGGTGCGGGTGCAGGGAAAACCCGATTTTTAATTACGGGTGCGGGGAGACACTAAGACCCGCCCGCCCCCCGGCCCCGCCCCGTCCCCGAATAATGCATTTTAGTTTAATTATCTTATTTTACTTATTTTAATATTCATTTATTAATTATATTTTTAATTAAATTATTAATACATTTATTACAATTAAAATAATTAAATTAATCAAGTTAATATTCATATATTAATTAAATTTTTAATTAATTAATTAATTAATTAATTAAGATAATCATCTTTTTAATTAAATTATTAATTTTTATTGCAATTAAAAAAAATTAATTTTTTTGCAGGTGGGGGCGGGGTGGGTGCTGGTGCACCCGTTCTCTACTGGGGGCGGGTCTGGGCGGTAAATTTTTATCCCCGGTTGGATTTGGGGGCGGGGGCGGGTGTGTTACATGGAGGCGGGTGCGGGTGCGGGTATAGTAAAACCCGCCCCCGACCCGCCCTGTTGTCATCCCTAGTTGCAATCAACATGCTTTCTCAAACTTTTGCAACCACTACTGATACTTCACTTTATCAATCGACCATACAATATGTCTCTAGAATACGATCATTGACTCTTGCATGTCCTTCAAGAAAGGTTGTTTGTAATTTGTACCAATATGTTTTCATCAATGCAAGGTCTCTATCGATCAAAATCACTTTGGAAAATAAGTGTTCCTTAATCAAAAAATAGTTTAGTTTCTCTGGTACCCAACAAAAGTTTTTCGTATGCTCATATTACATATAAACAAACGCAACAATAAATGTCTACTAACTTAACACCATATCTACAATTTCAAGTGACGATAGTCTATGCTTATTAATTGTGTATGTGTTGTCCATTATCAACACGTTTAGAAACATGTTCAACAACTTGATTGAATATGGATGCACCCAAAATATATCTCTGACTCATCTAACTAATATAATTTCATTGTATATCAACTTCAACAAATATAGTATTTTTGTTCTAGGACCTCCTCCTTTTGATGTATACTATTCTACTTAAATATTTGATTAATTCGAGTGACATTGTTTGAATCTTAATCTCACAACGACAGAAGTATGTTTCTCGGTGAAACATGACGCTTTGTCAAATTCATAACATGTTTTCTCTTATATAAACTTGGACGCTCCACAAACACATGATATTTCAATCTATAAGATAATATGTGGTTATGAACTCTATATTTTACCTCAATTTTTTAGTAGCACTTTGTAATGAGCTTTCAACTTACTCGTACTTTTCTATCATTGCACAATCCAAAATTATTTTGTTACTTCTTTGTTTCGTTCTTGTCTCTATATATAATCTAAAAATTGTACAATTCTTTTATTTTAATTTCAAACCTCTTATCTAATTTGTTACTGTTTTTTGTGCATTTATAAGAAATAACTATAAATTCAAAAACTATATATAAGTATTTATGATAAACTTTAAAAAAATATTATATTAAAATTTTAAATGTTCAAACAAATTATAAATATTGAATTATGATTTTTTCTTATTTCTGTGTCCAAGGTTAAGTTCGAATAAAAAACATATAGTTAAATAGAAAAAAATTCATTACCATCTATTCACATAATTTTAGATAAATATTGAATTATGATTTCTAAAGTCTTTTTCATACCAAAATTTGTTTACATGCCGAAATTATATGGAAAATGAATTATTATGGGTTTGGTAAAGCAAAAATACTACCTCCCTCCTAAATTATAAGGTATAATAATTAGGGATGTTCAAAACCGAACTTGCCCAATAAAATATCGTAAGTCAAACCAAACCAAATTAAAACCGTAAAAAGTCACATTTGTTTTAGATGTGTTTGAGCCATTTTTTAACAAAATTGCATGGTTCGATTTGGTTTGCGGTTTTTATTTTGTAGACCGAACCAAACTAAATCAAACTGCATTATGTTACAATCCAAACTTTACTTATCTCGTATCCAATTCAAAAGTCAAATCTATTATACCTTAGCGTTATGATTATTACCGATTTTATCTTACTCAGACTTAGGGTTTCAGTTTCAATCTTCTCAAATCTCTTCCCGTAGTATCGTGTCATCTTCTCATCTTTTTTGTCATGCACATCTCGTCTCTTCTACTCTAATCTCTCTTTTCTCTTATGTTCTTTGTTTTTTATCTTCTAATTTTATAATACTATTCTCTCTTCCAATTACTATTTTTATCACACATTTCTTCTCTAATCTCGCATATTTTATATTCTTTCTTTTTTAACTTCTCTAATTTCTTATATTCTTTTTTTATTATTATAATAATGTCTTTGATATTGTTTTATGCTATTATTTTATATTTTATATTTTATTTTTGTCTAATCTGATTTTTTTATATTGAATGGTAAGTTATTGTCCAAATATGAGTTTTTTTTTTGTTATTTGATAATGTATGATGGACTAAACACAAAGTTATGTTGTTCTGTTTATATGTATGCAAAGCTTAACAAAAATATTATAAAAACCAGAATCAACCGAACCAACCCAATCTGCATTAGTTTGGTTTGATTTTTTTTATTTTAAAATCAATTGAATCAAATCAAACTACATGCATTTTTCTCTTGAGATTCAGATAATTTTTAGCGTCAAAACCGCACCGTAAACATCTCTAATAATAACTATAAATAAATTTACGGAAACATTTTTATTAAATTATGAAAAAATAAGATAAAAACATATTTATATAAACTAATTTCATATTATTAACTAATCACTATCATGTATGTTAAATAATTTAAATATTTTAATAATATAATAGATTGCTAGTTATACGTTTAATTCATATCAATTAAACTTTGAAATTATATTTCATTTTATATTAATAATAAAATATTAAAATTTATTTTTCCATCATATAATTATTATGATTTATTCTCATTCTTCTATATATATAATTTTTTTAATATCTTCAATATAAAATAATTTTCACAGTTTATTTTTCTTTTCAACAATATCAAATATTGATCTTATAATAATTTGGGACGCAGTGAATAAGAAAAATAGTAAAAATTTTGTGGTGTTGTGGAAGATGAGTGATTTCGTGTACAGAATCAGCGTAGCTGCGGAGTGGGAGGAATTGCAGAGAAATGGTTCCACTTTCGGTAGGGAACTTGACAAGTCTTCTCGATTCATCCATCTTAGCAAACTCCATCAGGTTAATTTCATGCTTTTGAAGCATTTGAATTTCACTTCACTTCACTGTTTTTTGCCTGATTCATTTCAGATTCTGAATTGTGAATTTGAAATTCTATTGATTCGTTCAGATTCTGGATTGTGAATGTTGCCATGCTACTACCATTCGATTTCGTTTGATGATATAATAATGTTGCAGGTTCGGTCAACTCTGGATCGTTTTTTCTTGAATTGTAAAGATGAACTCTACCTGCTTCAGATAGATGCTAACAAGGTTTTGCAATTACTTTTCTATGCTTTTGTAATTTTTTTTTTTTGTGTTAGTGATTTTATTCATGAAGATTATTAGAAAAGTATCATTCGATGGAAATCTGAAGGAAAATGAAACTCTGTTTCAATTCATAAAATCAGATTTAGTGAAACTTTGTGTGTATTGAAATTTCAATTGTTCATATGAGAATGCACTAGATTATAATCATTATATAGGCTGGTTCAGCAACTTGGGGCTTGTTTGGATAAACAACTTATTTGCGGCTTATAACACCAATGCTTATCAAAATAAGCGCTTATGAATAAGTTTGCATAAGTTATTTTTATAACAAAAGATAAAATAAGTTTAAATTGTTTTTATATATGTTATAAGTTGTTTTCATTAGCTCTCTTGAAGAATTTATAAAAATAAGTTCAAAATAAGCTGTTTTGATTAAGTCTCCCAAACAGTCTCACAAAATTTATAGCAGTAGATAAGCTCAAACAAGTCCATCCAAACAGATCCTTAATGGAGAAACAATTTTTAACAATCTATAACAGAAAACTGATTACAGTTGGATTTTCTAGTAAAAATTGAAAACGAGGCACCATGATTATTTGTAGGAAGATATAAATCATAAATTGGTTGGTGGATAATTGTTCTAAGCTGATTCTCTAGAAGTGTATATTTTTTTTTTGGCTGTCACTTGCTACAAGAATCTGATCTGATTACCATTGGAAAATTGAGGTTTTTTCGATGAAAATACTTTCATTAATGACTCAAAGAAATAGAATCAAATTAATAAACAAACAAAGCACAGTTATTTGGTCACTACTCACTCTATTGTCTTGCTAATGGTAAAGTAATATTTTCTCTTCTGCTGTGATATTTCCTCAGCTTGGCGATGGTTTGGTGTATGAAATTGTTGACGGTTCAAATAGCTTCCCTCATTTTTACGGCCCATCACGAAGCTTCATCCCTCTTCCTCTAGACGCGGTCACAAAAGCGGAGAAGCTATCCCTCTCAAATGGTCGGTTCAGCTGTAGTTTGCTTGATTAAGTCTTCTGTTGATCAGCTGTCTGTCATTTCTTGTTATCTCTTATACTTCTTTGTAACGTGTGTGTGGAGTGCCGATTATCTTTGTAACGGCAAACAATGGTCATCCTTTCTTTAGGAAGGAGATGGAATGTTGAGTTGTTGACATGTACTGTTGGAATTTGAAGTAGCTTCTCAACCAATGATTATGTTGTAACATTTTTACATATTTCAAATTCTCAATCAACATGTAACCCTTGTTTATATCCTTTCCTACAACAAAAATTTCATTGCTTGCAAAAATGAAGATTTTGACCCCAAACCATACCATGTTTGACACTTCGAATTACAGGGTGAAGAGTACTTGGGTACTGCGATATCCTGCCACAATGGTTGCTATCACAAGAGCATTCCTCCAGTGGCAGTTTACCTGTTAAATTGTTAGCACTTTGAACCAAGATTCCTTGTGCAGATGTCTCTGTTCAACACGTTCAGGAAAATGAAAAGCGGAAGTCACCAGGTTCCTATTCTTTTTCTTGGTCTTTATAAGGAGCTTTTCATATAGAACTGTTTCAGGCTACTTTTTCGAAGCACCGTGTGGTTTGCTTAATTGGAAAAAACACCATCACTGTAAAGCAATTACACAGAAAGTGAGTTTTATTTTCCCTTGTAGATTTTTTCGATGTAAAATGCTTGTCACGTGAATAGTTAATAGCAATGTGCAAGTATTGCATCATCTTCACTATGTTGAGGGAAATAGTTTTTGTAGATCAACTTGAAGATCCACTTTAAGCGGAAAGCAAATTGATTGGTCATACAGTATACTACTTGCAAATGTAGTGTATCTGTAACTGAACTGAACCATTATTCTGTAGCAAATACTTTCAAAACTATTGCATTTATACAGTTCAGTGTATACTTTGCCATAATTTATTTAGAAATGAAAATTTTGTACATACATAAACAGTAGTGTACTATAGAAACATTTTTTTTACTCAACGTACATATGCACATAGTCACAATGTTTTATTCAAGAAATCAAACCAGTATAGTCCACTTAGAGTAAGGAAGAAGTTGAAAAACCAAGGAAGACTTTTTTTTCCCCTAGGAAAAGGAGGGAGGCAATAGGCAATGGAGTTTTAAAAAAGTTATTGCCTTCTATTATGAATGTGTAACATAAATTAAAATTTGTACAAAGTATAACATTTCTACAGTTTCAAAACGGGTTGCTATTTCCTCCCATAGTGATGAAGAGTCACTTGTTAGAAACCCGAAAATGCTCTTAAAATGCCCTTGAAATGGTACATAAGTTAATTTTGGGTCGCTCCCTATATACCAAAACACTTTGTAAGCGAGTCATTTTCATTTTGCTAAAGGAATAGTACGGAAGTTAACTTCTTCCGGACGTCTGTTTATTTCATAACTCAATGAATAATACAGAAGTTAAGTTCCGTACTAACCCTTAGGACAGTAAGTTTCCCTTCTAAACAATAAGTTTATTATAAAGTTGACATATTTTAGTAATCATTATATTTTAAGCAATTTATACAAAGATACATGTGTTAAAGTAATGAGGTGTCTGAGGGGCCTTTTGAAAAAACATTTGAAACGACAACATTAGATTCAATTGGTTAGACTTTTGGGGCGGCGGTAGGGGACACATGTCTCAAGAAAGACGATGTCGGAGACACGTGAACTCGGAAAGACAATGCTTCTACATCATATGATGCATGTTGGACTACTCTACTATGTCTAAATCTTTTTTAGTTGTCAAACATTTTACCTTAAATTAAACTAGAAAAATCATATCATAACTAAAGAAGTCAAATTCGAAAGATAAAGCAGGCAAAATCAAATAGATTATGTATATAAGAAAATTCTAAAAGTTAACTTCCATACCAAATGAAACCAAAAGAATAAATAATTAGTGAGTTTAACTTCCAATTTTAAGGGCATTATAGGTTTTTCACTAAAGTGGATAAGTATAGCTAAAGGTGCAAAGAGTAATACCCTTCTAAAATAATAGGGACATAATGGAAGCCCAACAGCAAGCCCATCAGATAACTTTGAGTTTCTATTAAGTAATCATAACATTTCTTATTATAGTAGTAAAACTTGAAAGACAAGTTAGTTAGATAATGGGGGGACATGTAATCTCCATATCTTTTGTATATATTAAGGGGGTGGTGTAAGTAATAGAAATTGAGAGTATCGTAGAAGACATAACAGAAAGAGAGAGGGAAAATGTAATATCCATGTATTTTGTATATTTCATCAAATGTGAGTTAGTTACATAATCCTGAGGAATGGGTATTTATACCCAATTTAAACTGATTTAGAGGGAGTTGGAACTATGGTAACTTAGCACAGCATGGTTAGTTACTGAAGCCATGACATGTTTGACTATTAGAAAGAGGTGGCTAGTTGGGTGAAAATAGGTTAGGTCGAGTTAGCTTTGTCAAGTATGAATATGTCCTGCTAAAATTTTTTAAAGCCTAAGTCCGACCTATGACCTACTATAGGCTTATTTTTATGCTTGAGTCCGATCTTTTTGATGGTCTGTTTGGTTTATTAGCCTACATAAAAACTATTTTACTTGAACATTTGTAAATATAAATATAATTCAACTAATATTTAAATAGACTAATGAATTAAAAGACCAACGAGACTAAATGTTTATTTTCATTGATTTATTCAAAATTACTTATTAACATAATTTTTTAATACTATTTGTTCGAGATAACTCATGAAAACAACTTTATGAAATTGTTCATAGACTTTTTTCAATAAATTCTTTAAAATAATTAAACTTTATTTTTAATTTTTAATTCTAACTACAAATACACAACTCATCTTTTGAATCTAATTTATTAATCATGATTGCTTGATTGTGTCTAATGCATGATTTGTTAACGGAAGGAGATCCGAATCCACCGAGAGCGGTGGATGGTGGTTGGATTGTAATCGGGGCGGGGAAGAAGGGTGTGCCATAAGTTTGATTATTATTTATTGGTTCCTTTTGTTGCAATTCACAAAGATTCATTCTATTTTTTTTTACTAGTAACTAATTTATTTATCTGCTTTGTAATTTGAAAACTCACAGAACTACTTTTCTCTAGATTCTGGAATTTCCTAGAATAACAAAATAGATCCAACTTTATGAGGCTTATATTTTGGAGCTTTCCTCCATATGGTCACATGAGTGATAGCTTTTCCAACCGGATCTGCTTCATTACATTTCCATGGAATCTTAGAGTTAGAGAGTTAATGACCCTTTATGTCATTTTAAAGTAAATACATTACTTCACAAAGAAGCATGAAAACCTCACATGGGATCCAGAAATTGCAGATCTTTGTGATATCATATTCTTGATTCTTAATTTATACATTAAACATTTGACCTTGAATAGGTCATATGTAACCTCACAAACAGTAAGTCAATGTATGCCAGCACACAGCTAATAATACAATTTCGATCTGCTGCTACAGAGTCAATGTATTTGTCTGCAAGTACTATCACCCTGCCTATCAAATGGACAACATTGTAGGGTAGGCATGAAAGTTAGGACTTAGTGGTTAAACAAATAATTTGGCATAATTCATTTTTACAAAACCAATTAATAAGGTGAGAAGTGTCACTTTATATAAACTCTTCTAAAGTTCTATTTTTAACTTGGTGCGTGGATATAAATGGTCGGCGGTCCATTGTCTGATTGATAGACTCTGATACCATATTAGAGTTTGACATAACTTATTCTTATAAAATCGGTTTTGTAAGAATGAGTTAGGTCAAACTCTAATATGCTATCAGAACCTATCGATCGAAATATACATTATCCACCGTTAATATCCATGCACCAAGCCCATCCAAAAGAATGTTGGAAGTGCGGGTGTGTATTGGAAAAATTTCAAGTCCCACATTGGTTAGAGATAGAATCTTGAAAGAGTTTGGTCAAACTCTAATATGGTATCATAGCTCTGGTTGGCTCGGTGGAGGAGCGAAAGTGTATTCTAGTGTGGACCAAAGCTAGTGATGTGGGTGACTCATACTTGTGGGACTAGGAATGAAAAAAATGTTGGGTTTATAAGAGAGATGATCCATATCCCTATTGTCTTAGTGTAAAGGTCTCTTGAAATCATGAACATTTATTCCAATACACCGACTAATATAAAACTTAGATTACAAGTTTCACATGAAAAGTGGTTATAACTAATATAACCAAATAAACGGCTAGTTTTATAACAAACATTCTAAAATAATCTAATACTAGTATGAGTCAGAACACTCTCAAAAAAATTCAACATCAACGATTCATAATTCGATCTTTTATACAAATATTTCTCCTTTCCTTTAACTAATGAACCACTAATATTCACTTATAATATATTGTTTTATTTGTCAATTAATGTTAAAAGTTGTATTTGGTCAATGCTCAATAGCAAGTTCTACTTTGATGAGTTTTAGCTCTCCATGTAGGCCAATAATGTTGTCTCTTGTTTTAAGTGGAGAATCATATCACCATGAATAAGGCCAAAGTCAATAGCATTAATGGTTCAAATCAATGCACTAGAAGGGAAAGATGATTACTATGAGTGTGAGGTGCCCTTATCGGCATTACCCTAGAAGGGAATATTGATTTGCTACTTCTCAATGTGAATTCTCTTTTTCCTACATAATCATTAGTGACCCTTTTCTCTTTATTACTTGCAATTTAAGCCACGCAAACCGTTGCTAAAGCATTTTCATGTGCTAATATGATTAATTACCAGTGTCTTTTTTACTACATATTTTTTAGGAGGAAGTTGATTCATTTAATTTGAGATTTATTTTGGTTCAGAATGGTTGGCCAATCTAATCACTGATCATCATAAAGTCGGAAAGGTAAAACAAATTCATGTATATTCGAATATCCACTTTGTTCACATATCACTTCTAATAGTTGACTCATGCAGGTAGCATGATTATAAATTTCAGTGTGCAAACTAAAATTTGAGCCACAACCTCCAAGTTTTGGAGGAATTCT